AATTACACCAGACTTCTCACCAGAGACTATAAAAGCCAGAAGAGCCTGGACTGACATCATACAGACCCTAAGAGAACACAATTGCCAGCCCAGATTACTATACCCAGCAAAACTCTCAATCACTATAGATGGTGAAACCAAGATATTCCATGACAAAACCAAATTTGCACAATATCTTCCCGCAAACCCAGCACTTCAAAGGATAATTGATGGAAAATGCCAACACAAGGAGGGAAACTACAACCTAGAAAAAGCAAGGAAGTAATCTTCCAACAACCCCAAAAGAAGATACAAACATAACTTTACCTCTAATAACAAAAATAACAGGAAGCAACTATCATTTTTCCTTAATATCTCTTAACATCAATGGTTTCAATTCCCCAATAAAAAGATGCAGACTATCAGACTGGATACACAAACAAGACCCAGAATTTTCCTGCATACAAGAAACGCACCTCAGTGACAAAGACAGACACTACCTCAGAATAAAAGGGTGGAAAACAATTTTTCAAGCCAATGGTCCCAAGAAACAAGCTGGAGTAGCCATTCTAATATCAAATAAAATTGACTTTCATCCAAAATTAATCAAAAAAGATAAGGAAGGACACTTCATACTCATCAAAGGAAAAATCTACCAAGGTGAACTCTCAATTCTGAACATCTATGCTCCAAATGCAAGGGCACCTACATACATAAAAGAAACTTTACTAAAGCTCAAAACACACATTACACCTCACACAATAATAGTGGGGGATTTCAACACCCCACTGTCAGCAATGGACAGATCATGGAAACAGAAACTAAACAGAGACACTTTGAAATTAACAGAAGTTGTGAACCAAATGGACTTAACAGACATCTATAGAACATTTCATCCTAAAACAAAAGAATATACCTTTTTCTCAGCACCTCATGGTACCTTCTCCAAAATAGACCATATAATTGGTCACAAAACAAGCCTCTACAGATACAAAAAGATTGAAATAATCCCTTGCATCTTATCAGATCACCACGGAATAAGACTGGTCTTTAATAATGACAAAACCAATGGAAAACCCACGTGCACATGGAAACTGAACAACTCTCTACTCAATGATGACTTGGTCAAGGAAGAAATAAAGAAAGAAATAACAGACTTTTTAGAATTCAATGAAAATGAGGACACATCATACCAAAACTTGTGGGACTCCATGAAGGCAGTGCTAAGAGGAAAGCTCATAGCTCTAAGTGCCTACAAAAAGAAACTGGAAAGAGCACACACTAACAAGTTGACCGCACAACTAAAAGCTCTAGAACAAAAAGAAGCAAATACACCCAGGAGGAGTAGAAGGCAGGAAATAATCAAACTCAGGGCTGAAATCAACCAAATAGAAACAGAAAGAACAATACAAAATATCAATAAAACCAGGAGTTGGTTCTTTGAGAAAATCAACAAGATAGGTAAACCGTTAGCCAGATTAACCAGAGGGCACAGAGACAGTATCCAAATTAATAAAATCAGAACTGAAAAGGGAGACATAACAACAGAAACTGAAGAAATTCAAAAAATCATCAGATCCTACTACAAAGGCCTATACTCAACAAAACTGGAAAACCTGGATGAAATGGACAATTTCCTAGACAGATACCAGGTACCGAAGTTAAACCAGGAGCAGATAAACCATCTAAATAGTCCCATAACCCCTCAGGAAATAGCAGCAGTCATCAAAAGCCTCCCCACTAAAAAAAGCCCAGGACCAGATGGTTTTAGTGCTGAATTCTATCAGACCTTCAAGGAAGACCTAATACCAATTCTCTTCAAACTATTCCACAAAATAGAGACAGAAGGAACACTACCCAATTCGTTCTATGAAGCTACAATTACACTCATACCCAAACCCCACAAGGACCCGACAAAGAAAGAGAACTTCAGACCAATCTCCCTTATGAACATCGATGCAAAAATACTCAATAAAATTCTAGCAAACCGAATCCAAGACCACATCAAAACAATCATCCATCATGATCAAGTAGGTTTTATCCCAGGAATGCAGGGATGGTTCAATATTCGGAAATCCATCAATGTAATCCACTATATAAACAAACTCAAAGAAAAAAACCACATGATCATCTCACTAGATGCTGAGAAAGCATTTGACAAAATTCAACATCCCTTCATGATAAAAGTCTTGGAAAGATCAGGAATTCAAGGCCCCTACCTAAACATAGTAAAAGCAATTTACAGCAAACCAGTAGCCAACATCAAGCTAAATGGAGAGAAACTTGAAGCAATCCCACTAAGATCAGGGACTAGACAAGGTTGCCCACTCTCCCCCTACCTATTCAATATAGTACTGGAAGTCTTAGCCAGAGCAATTAGACAGCAAAAAGAAGTCAAAGGGATACAAATAGGAAAGGAAGAAGTCAAAATATCGCTATTTGCAGATGATATGATAGTATACTTAAGTGACCCCCAAACTTCCACCAGAGAACTCCTAAACCTGATAAACAACTTCAGCAAAGTGGCTGGTTATAAAATCAACTCAAACAAATCAGTAGCCTTCCTCTACATGAAAGATAAACAGACTGAAAAAGAAATTAGGGAAATGACACCCTTCACAATAGTTGCAAATAATATAAAATACCTTGGTGTGAATCTAACCAAGCAAGTGAAAGACCTGTATGACAAGAACTTCAAGTCTCTGAAGAAAGAAATTGAAGAAGATCTCAGAAGATGGAAAGATCTCCCATGCTCATGGATTGGCAGGATTAATATAATAAAAATGGCCATCTTGCCAAAAGCAATCTACAGATTCAATGCAATCCCCATTAAAATCCCAACTCAATTCTTCACAGAGTTAGAAAAGGAAATTCTCAAATTCATATGGAATAACAAAAAACCCAGGATAGCGAAAACTATTCTCAACAATAAAAGAACTTCTGGAGGAATCACCATCCCTGACCTCAAGCTGTACTACAGAGCAATAGTGATAAAAACTACCTGGTATTGGTACAGAGACAGGCAGGAAGATCAATGGAATAGAATTGAAGACCCAGAAATGAACCCACACTCCTATGGTCACTTGATCTTTGACAAAGGAGCTAAAACTGTCCAGTGGAAAAAGGACAGCATTTTCAACAAATGGTGCTGGTTCAACTGGAAGACAACATGTAGAAGAATGAAAATTGATCCATTCTTATCCCCTTGTACAAAGCTCAAGTCTAAGTGGATAAAGGACCTCCACATAAAACCAGATACACTGAAACTAATAGAAGAGAAGGTGGGGAAAAGCCTCGAATACTTGGGCACAGGGGAAAAGTTCCTGAACAGAACTCCAATGGCATATGCTCTAAGATCGAGAATTGACAAATGGGACTTCATAAAATTGCAAAGTTTCTGTAAGGCAAAGGACACTGTCAATAGGACAAAACGACAACCAACAAATTGGGAAAAGATCTTTACCAATCCTTCATCTGATAGAGGGCTAATATCCAATATATACAAAGAACTCAAGAAATTAGACTCCAGACAACCAAATAACCCTATTAAAAAATGGGGTATAGAGCTTAACAAAGAATTTTCAACGGAAGAAACTCGAATGGCCGAGAAGCATCTAAAGAAATGTTCAGCATCCTTAGTCGTCAGGGAAATGCAAAACAAAACAACCCTGAGATTCCATCTCACACCAGTCAGAATGGCTAAGATTAAAAACTCAGGTGATAGTAGATGCTGGCGAGGGTGTGGAGAAAGAGGAACACTCCTCCATTGTTGGTGGGACTGCAAGATGGTGCAACCACTTTGGAAATCAGTCTGGCGGTTCCTCAGAAAATTGGACATAGCATTACCCGAGGATCCAGCTATACCACTCCTAGGCATATACCCAGAAGATGCTCGAACATATAACAAGGACATATGCTCAACTATGTTCATAGCAGCCTTATTTATAATAGCCAGGAGCTGGAAAGAACCCAGATGTCCTTCAACTGAGGAATGGATTCAAAAAATGTGGTATATTTACACAATGGAGTATTACTCAGCTATTAAAAACAATGAATTCGAGAGGTTCCTAGGTAAATGGATGGAACTAGAAATTATCATACTGAGTGAGGTAAGCCAATCACAAAATAACACACATGGTATTCACTCACTGATTATTGGATATTAGCCTCGAACCTTGAAATGCCCAAGATGCAACTCACAGGCCACATGAAGCCCATAAAGAAGGAAGACCAAGTGAGGGTGATTCGGTCCTTCTTAGAAGGAGCAACAAAATACTCAAGGGAGCAAATATGGAGACAAAGTGAGGGACAGAAACTGAAGGAGATGCCGTCTCAAGACCACTCCACCTGAGTATCTATCCCATGTGCAATCACCAAAGGTAGATGCTGATGTGGAAGACAGGAAGTGCGTATTGATAAGAGCCTGATATGGATATCTCCTCAGAGGTCTTCAAGAGTCAGACATATTCAGAGGCAGATGCTCACAACTAGCCATTGAACTGATCACGGGGTTCTCAATAGAGGAGTTAGAGTGAAGACCATTGGAGCTGAAAGGATTTATGGCACCATGAGGAGAGCAACAATACCAACCAATCACAGCTCCCAGGGTCTAAACCACCAGCCTGGGAGCACTTAGGGGGGGATCCAGGGCTTCAGCTGAATATGTAAAAGTGGAGGGCCCTGCTGAGCATAGGTGGAAGAAGAGAACCTTGACCTCATGAAGGCTGGATGCCCCAGGGGGTGGGAATTTTGAGGGTGGGGAGGTGGGAGTGGGGGGGTAGATAGAGGTTACATCCACAGAGAAGAAGGAGGAGGGGTGAGGGGATTGGGGGCTCCGAGGGGGTGATGGGGGATGGGGTAAGGGGACAACATAGGAAATGTAAATAAATCATCCAATAAAAAAAAAGAAAAAAGAAATAATCTCCCTTATCTAGTTACAGCATAGTAGATCTTGAGCACTAACTCATACACATGTCTAGCTTGTGTTTCCTTTATATCATAACAACACCTGTTATGCTCACCTCCATAGTTAGCGTGTCTCCAGAATTTTTCATTCCATTTATGTGTGCAACTTTTCTAAGTTCCTTTGTGGCTTTCTGGGGTTTGTTGGTCACAATCAGCCACCGAGCTGACTCTGACAGCCACCTGTTAAGGAAGATTTTGGATTTAGAAATGAATTTGGTCTCTCATTTTCCATATAAAATTTAACCACGGGACTGGTGAGATGGTCAGAAGTTAAAAGCACTAGTTGTTCTTCCAGAGGACCCGAGTTCAATTACCAGCATACACATGGTTGCTCACAACCATTTATAAAGAGATCTGATGCCCTCTTCTGTCCTGTAGATGTATATATAGCATAGCATTCACACATTAAATTAATAAAATTAGAGCCCTTCCAGTCTGTGCCTGTGCCTGTGCCTGGAGCAGTCGTAGGGTGCCAGCTGTGCACCCAATCCCCCAAAAACTCAGAGGAGGCTGGACTCCTAGGAGCTCTAAGATGCCCAGTAGTGTAGGTAAGTAAGCCAAGATATCCCCCAAACAGGGAGTATTTTTTGATCCATGAGGACCCAGGAACTCCTTCAAGGCCAGTGGCAATGGACCATTCCACTTTGTACCAGTGTCAGGGGCAGCCCTGCTTATACACTGAAGGCCTAAAATCAGCAATAGGCCTGACATACATGCCTGCTAACACAAAGTCTTGGGTCTCTGTGGAAAAACACTGAAACAGGTGTATAGAAGCTATTGTAAACAAGCAGCTTTGGTGAAAAGTTGCCAAGCCTAAGTAGTCACAGACCTTGTCATAGGCCTTGGTGGATAGTACCAAGTTAGATAAGGACAAGTGAATCATAGGCGGAGTCATAGTGATCTCTTCTCTAAACCTTCACCCAGCTGACACTTTGTTCTGGAAGGTATCTCTACTCCTCCTGAACACCTACACTCCTAAGTCATCCCTTTCCCCACATCCTGCCTTTTTGTGTATATAACCTGTGTTGAAAAAGTAAACTTTGTGATTTGATCAGACTATAGACAGATCGCCATTCTCTGTATCTTTGCCTGTTTCCCCCTGCTCTCTGTTAGGTGACCTCCCTGTACCCCTGTTTACTGCCCTGCAGAACAGTACATTATGGCGCCCAACGTAGGGCTCGAGGCGATCACAGGAGAGGGTATGCCGACTCCCCCAAAGAAGGTAGGCCTACCAGGTTTTCGGGAGCTTTGATGGCGGCTGCCTAGAGTCCATAAAGGCACTCCCTTAGAGTATTTTTAGAGTGACTCCCACAAAGGAGCACCCAAGTGAGACATTTCCCCCACACACACCAGAGTTGCTTGAGAGCACTCCAATTTAGAAGGATATCATAGTCCACCCAATTGTTAACAATCCTTTCTAGGATCAGAGTGGCATCAGCCTTGAGGTAAAAGGCCCCCCAGGACAGGAATATTGTGACACCCAAAGAATGAGTCATCCCAGGCACAAAGAATTAGGGTTAAATAAAGACATGGGACAAGCATTTTCTAAGCAGTCACTCTTTGTGACACGGCTCCAAGAGCCTATCTTCAGAACACAGGGAACTAGGGTTTTAAAAAAAAAAAACTCTAAAAATTCTTTACTTTTATTAGTGTTTTCCCTAGATGAGACTATTTATAAAAAATGTTATACCTCATAAGGAGGAGATAAAAAGTTAAACCTTAAAAATGAGAGAGAGAGAAAAAGTAAAAGGAGTTGCCTGTTCTCTGGCATGTTAACAAAAGAAAAACAAAAAGCTTATTACAGAGCTCTCTTGGAAAACAAGAAATGGTTGGGGGATGCCCTAGTCTCTCTGGCTCTCTCCAGGAGAGATTCTCAGTTCTGCTTTCTCTGTCTATTGTCTGCCACTGGTGTGGCAATATTGTCCATGTGTGTCAATTTTCTGTCTTTGTCTCATTGTCTGAATGATTGTTGTGTTCTATGTTTCATGTTCAAAAGAAAAACTGGTTAAAACTGCTTGCTCAATTTAGTTTAAAACTTGTTTGGGAGACAGTCTCAATTTACACAACAAGAACTAATAATTTATCTTTCCTTGTGATTGGTAGAGGGGTACTGCCAGAAAGAATCTTGGAAATAGTTAACTGTTTTCATAAGCGGCTCCTGGAAGGAGGCCAACAAATTTTTGGCTTCTACAATAAAGAAACTAATAGTGGTTCTTCCCAGTTAGATAAGTGAAAGGGGCTTTTCCCTTATAATTACAGCTAAACTGGTAAAAAAAAATTTGCTTAGATGTACATTTATTTTTATTCTTAATTGGTATTAAAAATATAAATATGTTCTATATGTCCTGGTTATATATTATTGGGGATGATTACAAATTTATAAGTTTGGAAACAAAAGCTGGATTAAAACTGGTAATTCAGAGTTAAAATAATCAGAAAACCAGATTATAAAAGAGATCTCAATAAGAGTTTTATCTGGGATCAAACATAAACAACTTCTTTGGTTACACAATTGGCTAATCAGTTGATCCCTCTAAAAGAGTTTTAATACAAGTCTTTTTTTTTTTTTTTTATAAATAATTTATTTATTTTTGAACATGAAATGCTTTTTTATAGCATGTTTCACAAGGGGAGGGGGTAAGAGGGGCCAGATGGTGGAAAAGTACAAAATCTTCTTGGCCTGTGCCTTGAAACATGTCATGGTCTATACGGTACACTGCCTTGAATTATGATCTACCTGCTGTTCTTCAGAAGATATGGTACACTGCTTGAGTTATGGTCTCCCTGCTATTCTTAAGATGATATGGTACACTGCTTTGAGTCTATCTGCAGTTGCTAAGCAGGATCTTGCAGTTGCCAAGCTTCAGAGGACATTGTGCAGGTGGGGAAAGGTAGGGGGTGAGGGTAAGGGCGAGGGTCCTGGCTTCTGGCATCTCCCCCTTCTCTGTTTAGTTAGAGAAGGCATCTTATGATCAATCCCAACTATGTGAATTTTGAATTTGGATGTCTAATTATGGGGGGTCTTAGACAAGTTCACAACCCCAAAACACTGATGTGAGACAAGTCTTTGCTCTCATACAACGAGCTTTAAAATTTTAGAGAGTGCATACTGTTCCTGAAAACCTCCAAAAATAATACCTTTTCAATATTTCAGACATCCGTTATATTCCTAAATAAATTGTGACACAAAAGTTCAAATAAGAATAGATAAAATACTTATTTTAACTTATTTTCAAAAGTTTCTAGGAGATGCTAATTGGTTAAAATCTTATTTTAAGCTCTCCACAAAAGAATATAAGCCTCTGTTTAATGTTCTCAAGAGAGATACAAATCCTAATTTCTTTCTACAATTGGCTGATTAAACACATAATTTTACAGAAAAATAGAAAAAGCTGTTATTAATAGATATATTATATGGATTAATTAGTTCTTGGCTGTTTTATAACAGTCCTTTGATAAAAAAGATTATTAATATAGATTTATATTTCTTTATTTCCAAAAGAAGTTTTAACATCCTATCTTAAAATTGTTGCTGTGTTAATACAAAATTATAGGTCAAGATCACAAAGGTATCTTAAGAAAGAACTTAATAAAATATTTCTTATTCCAAATAATAATATAATTGGTTATTAAAAATACAGTTTTCATCCTGTATATCCCTTTATATTCTTTATGAATATATATATATATATATATATATTCTCCTTATGAATATATATATATTCTTTATAAATATATATATTATATATATATTCCATAAGAGGTGTGTTTACTGTACTAATAGACAGCTCATTTAATGAGAAGAAAATATACATAATTAGATTAAATATTTACTCTCTTGAGTTTCCCCTACTTCAACAAAGATAACTGAACCACGTGCTGTAGCCACTATTTAAAATACAAAAATTAAGCTTTCAATTGGTATACTCATAGTCAGTATATAGCTTATAGTTTATAATTTCTTAAAATTGTTTCTTTTTTAGATATTGCTAATTTTCAAATTTTACAAATATAGCTCAATTTAAGAAACATATATTTTTCCTTAATTTAATAAGACATTTAAGAGCTCATATTATATTACCTAGACCCTAGGAAAATGCCATAACAAATTTGTATATCAGATAAATTACAGACCTTACAAAAACAATTGGCCATACAATTTTGCTCTTTACATTGAGGTTAATATATAATAAAAATTTGTCTATCTAGATTGCTGTGCAACTGTAGCTGATTTGCCTTTTAGGATCCTTGAAGCCAAAAACTACAGTTTTTTGCACTTAGCGCTTCATTCTAAAAATAGCTAAAAGCTAGGTAAACAGCTTTTGTTATGTCTCACAAAAAAAAATGCTAGGCTCTGACTTATGCCTGATAGTCTGAGGCCACTTAAAAAAGTTATTGCTGAGTTTATTATTAGGAGTAGGGGGTTTTCAGTGAAAGCTATCTTTAAAAAAAAGTAAAAAAGAACCTTCTATTTTATTTCAAAAAGAGAAAGGGTTCTATTTTATATACTATCCTAAGTGGGAAAAGGACAAAGAGTTCTCCTTTTCTCTCCATTATATTTCCCTTTTTATCCTTTTGTCCTCAATACTCACACATTTTTTAAAATACATGATCACATGTTACAAAGTTCGCTACAAGTTTATACCAAAAATTAAATTATAAATTGAGCTCACTGAGGGTTTAGAACTATAACTGAGTTATCAGTAAAGATTTGTGTAGATTAGCCCAGACAGTATTTTGTCGTCCATCCTAACACCTATAATAAATTGTTGGTTCCTTTTTAATGATCTTTGACAAATTGTTTTACAACTTTTAAAACATGCTCTGAGTGAAAAAAGTCTGGTTATTATCTAAAAACAGTTAACTGATGTTATTTCAGAGATTGACAAAATTCTTATTACAGTTTTGGCTATCAGAAAGAAACTTAGTTACAATCTCGTAGTAAAAAGAGCTTAAGAATCAAAGATATAATTTTAAAAACTTTTATAAGATCATCATTAAGATTTAAAGGTCATCTATCTGTCTATATAACATCACCACAAGATAGTACAATTTTATAGATCTATGTTTAATAATAATAGCTTGAGACAACAATTTGATATTATTAGAGAGTATATAAGTTACATTACAAAATTTGTTTTTAGTGTCCTCAATTTTTTCATAATGGTGTTAATACTTGA